TTATTTTTGAGACAGGGGAGGGGCAGAGAGAGGGGGGACAGGATCTGAAGCAGGCTCCATGCTGACATCAGAGAGCCAAAGGTGGGGCTCGAACCCACAAACTGTGAGATCATGACCTGAGCCCAAGTCGGACACTTAACCGACTGAGCCACCCAGGTGCCCTAGGAGTGAGATTTCTGGGATATATGGTACATGTATGTTTATCTTGATAGGAAACTGACAAACTCTTTTCCCAAGTGGGTGTATTCCACCTTAGTTTTTATTCCCCTTGGTGGAACTTTCCTCTTGTCATGTTTGGCAGGACCATTGTGGGAAGACCACTGACTCACTAATTCAGTGAGAAACTCAAATTATGGAATAGCCGTAAATATTTTTGGTGTTTCAGTTCTTTAAGCACCAACCACAACTCAAAGGATTAAAAGTAGGAGTGCCCACCCGGCTAGGGTGACTAACTTGCCAGTGTGCCCCAGATTCTCCTGGTTTTAACACTGAAAGTCCTGCATCCTGAGAAACCCCTCCATCCTGGCACCAAACGGGGATATGTGGCCACTGAACGCCGGGGCACTGAACATCCATCACATCGTTTTATTCACGAGAAAGTGTCAAGGGTGGGTTTGTGCCCTGACTCGTGCATGAGGGAACAACCTTCTAGAGGTTAAGTTGCTTCCCCAGCCCACGCTCCGGAATAGGTGGAGCCAAACTTTGGCACCAGATCTGCCAGACTCCAAAGCATCCCCCCGGGGTCCTGGGCTTCAGGGGCACAGGCCAGCAGGTGCACCTGGGTAGAGCTCTGCTGCCCTCTGGTGGCAGCAGAGGAGGCACTCTGGGTCAGAGCAGCCAGTGGTGGGAGCCGGAAGACACCCGTTCCCCCCAGGGAGCAGGACCTCAAATCTGGCCTCGGCCCTAGAAAGGTGCCACATGGAGGGACCCCACCAAGGCCTGCTGGGGGCCTTGGTCCAGCCGTCCACGAGTCACGTGATCAATCGGGCCCTCACAGACCTAGGGCCAGAGTGCTGGGTTTGAGTCTGTGTGTAATCCTGAGCCAATCACTCAGCCCTCGGGGCTTTAGTTCCTTATCTGTAAATCAGGATGATGAGCGTGTCGACACACTTAGACTAGGCTTAGACACTGAGGTTGTAATTACCAGCTCCATCACACCCACATGCCCCCCACCCTTGTGCACTCATTCACTCCGTTCACTGACTTAACTTCCATCCAGCAGCTATCTGCCAAGCACCAGCTTTGTGCCAGACCCGGAGGTGGAGGGGTGACAGAGACGGCTGCTCTCCTGGCTCTTAACTCAGCTGATCCACTATCTCATGCATTCATTCATTCCTGGAGTATCCATTTATTGAGTGTTCCTTCGTTCTTTTTCAGACTCACTGAAATTCCTTTTTCATTCATTCATCCGTCCCTTGGTTATCACATTGACACATCCATTCTTTCTTTATTTTTTCAGGCAATTGTTGACTCCCCGCCCCCTTCCTCCTTCCCTAATTCCTGTTTTGCAAGCATTCTGGAAGCACCACTCAACTCAAGGCCAGGATTAGATGCTGGCATTCTGGCTCAACCCTCCTCCCAGACTTGTGGGTAGGCAGATGGTGAGGACACGCTGTGCTAACTACCATATGCCAGCCATCAGGACCCAGAGCAGGGAGAGCACCAAGAAGGGAGCAACTGACTGCCTGGAGGAGGGAACAGGGGGGCAATCAGAAGAGGCTTCGTGGAGGAGTTAGCATTTAAACAAAGTTAAGAAGGGCGTAGGGCAGTTCTCCAGGGAGGGAAAGACACTCCAGGTAAAGTCTTTTTGTGTGTGTGGTACGTTTGGGGAAAAGTGAGGTACCTGGGTGGCTGGGGTATATGATGTAGGTCATGTGTCCATGACAACAACCAGGTCAGTCTCTCCCTAGGTTCCGGTGACAGTCATAGGCCAATCAAGGACTTCTAATTCATCACCCTTGGTCACTGGAAAACCACCCACTATCGGGGGGGCCAGGAATAGCTTTAAGGCATTAACAAAACACCCTGTCACCGGGGTCACCTGGCTGGACTGGGACACTCAGTGAGAGAGCTGCCTGGATGAGCAGGCTGTGCAGACAGCAGCAACATTAGTATCTGAGGTGCCTGGCCCCCAGGATCCCATGGTCATCGGCAAAGGTTAATTGTGTCCTTCGCTGTGAGCCAGTCCTTGCCCCAGATGTCGAAATACAGCAGTGAATAGAATGCCCATTCTTTAGCTGGTGACAAATACAGGAGAAAACTAGCAAGTGTGAGGACCAGCAGAAATACACCTGCGGTTGAAAAAACAATTGGGGTCTGTTGTCTCTTTTAGGAAAGGAGACTACACTGACTTCAACAAGGGGGTGTGAAAGAGGACTTCTTGTAGCCCTTGTGCTTGGGTGAAGTGATTTGGGGGAGGGTTCAAGTAAGTGGATTTAACTCTAGGTGCTGTCAGGAAGCAACACAATTCCATGACTGGCTGTCTTAATATTTAAAGAGAATGGGGGAAAAAAAAAAACAGAAAAGAAAGAAAAAGGAAAAATAGAGAAAAAGAAATAAAGTGAACCGAGGCTAATGCTTTAAAAAAGCAGTAGTTACTCATAAGAGCCAGAATGAGGTTTCAACAATATTCCTGTTTTCATCTACTTTCAAACATGATTACAGAGCAGTCTTGTTTATGCCTTGTGTGAGGTCGGTGTTCTGGGAAATTGTTTACGTCCAACAGGAGGACATCAAGGTCTAGCTGTAAGTGCCAAGCCAGCTCCCAGACGGGAAGGGCCCTTTTCTCTTTCTCATAAGATTGTCATAAATGGGAGAGTGGACCAGCCCCGAGGAACGGCCAGGACAAAGGCCCGGGGGCAGGAGGGGATGCTGAGAGCCATTAGCAGGGCTCCCGGCGGCGCCACGACACGTACGCGAACTGGAGAGGGCGACTGGGGTCGCACCCTCGGGCGTGCAAGGCCACCTCTCTCATAGGAACTTGGGCTCTCGGCTGCCTTGATTTGTACAAACACAGGAAACGAAAGCAAACAGCTTTGATCAAGACAACCTACTCGGCCACGAGCTCATGAATATTCAGCAGGATGCTTCCGGCTTGCGACTCCGCCCCAGCCCCGCCCTGCGAGAAGACTGCACTTGCCCCGCTTGCGCGCGGCTCTGTCGTCATAAGTACGCGCCGCCGCCACCGCCGCCGCTCGCCTTGGGGAAGTGGAAAGCTGTCATGGCGAGTTCGGCTGCTTCCTCGGTGCGACCGCCGAGGCCCAAGAAAGAGCCACAAGCGCTCGTCATCCCCAAGAATGCGGCAGAAGAGCAGAAGCTCAAGCTGGAGCGGCTCATGAAGAACCCGGTGAGACGAAGCACTGGTTCGACTCCTCCTCCGAGTCCCCTTCCGTTACGGCGCTGCTGGGGACCCACGGGCCCACCTCTCCCACCTCTAGACTTAGGAACTGAGTACCCGAACCCCAGGGCCAGCCCTTAGGAAGGAGTAGGCTACCTCGCAGACCTTGAGCTTCTTCTGTCCTTGTGTTGGAGCCCAGCCCGGATGAGGGTGCTTTTAGACACTTAAGAGTTTAACTTTCTGTGAACAGAAGCGTTGACTGGAACGATAGCATTCATGGGTTAGCACAAGGGTTTATTAACTTCTAAACAGCACTGATTGTTAGAAAGGCTTTGGCTGAGCCACCCGGAGCAAATCACTCCCTCAGTCATAAAAATAATTGGGTGAGGTCTCTTACACCTTTGGCTAGAAAGGGTTGACTCCGCATGTAGTAGAGTTAGGGTTAGAAGTTTCCAGCCATAAATGGTGAGTTACGTTTCTGAGTTTTGTTTTGGAAAGTTAAGTGTAGCCCTGGCGAGGCCACGGGCTGTGGTAGACCCCAAAGATGTATGGGATGAAGTAAATCTAAGGCAGCGAAGAAAATCGGCTTTAGGTCCAAGGAGCAAAGCAGCCTTTCTTCACCAATCCAGTTAAAATGCTTTGGTTTTAAGAGATGTGATTGTCAGCAGGTTTGTGCTTAAAAACGCTTTTGTGTTTAAATGTTGCAGGACAAAGCAGTTCCGATTCCAGAAAAAATGAGTGAATGGGCACCCCGGCCTCCCCCAGAATTTGTTCGAGATGTAATGGGTAATGTCGTGTGTGTGTGTGTGTGTGTGTGTGTGTGTGTGTGTGTGTGTGTGTAAATATAGTTTTTGAAGCGTAGATCTAAAAATCCTGCAGTTAGCATTTAATTAAATCTATAATAGGAAAAAAAAGTTCACTGTTTCAGTAACTTTGTACTTACAGCAAAGGGGTATTGTTGCTTACAGTTTGGCATTAGAGAATTTTCTTCTGCACTTAAAAAAAAAGTTTATTTACTTTGAGAAACAGCGCAAGCGGTATGAGGCACAGAGGGAGAGAGAGAAATTCCTAAGCAGGCTCTGTGCTCAAACCTAGGAGCTGTGAGATCAAGACTGAGCTGAAATCAGGGTCAGGTGCTCAGGCCACCCAGGAATCCCTTCTGCATTGTTTAAATAACATATTTTTTTAAATCTAACTGGAAATAGCTTTATTATTTTGGGTGGTTGTAAATTAACATACTGATTATAAAGAGGACTAAGTAACAGAGGTCTGAAAAATTTTGAACCCCCGTAATTCCATCATTCCTCTTGTAGCATGCTGCTACAGCCTTCTAAACCCCTAGTCAAAATCACTCATGTGTAAGAAAAAATGATTTTTATTTTATTTTTTTTAATTTTTTTTAAACGTTTTTATTTTTTTATTTATTTTTGAGACAGAGAGAGAGCGTGAACAGGGGAGGGGCAGAGAGAGAGGGAGACACAGAATCCGACACAGGCTCCAGGCTCCGAGCAGCCAGCACAGAGCCCGACGTGGGGCTCGAACTCACGGACCGTGGGACCGTGAGATCATGACCTGAGCCGAAGTCGGATGCCCAACCGACCGAGCCACCCAGGCTTGCCCCGGAAAAATGATTTTTAAAAATGTGGCCATTCTACACATACTATTTAGTAACCTACCTTTTTCCTTTAATAGACATGGACATCTTTTCAGCTCAGTAGAAATTTAGCGTGTCAAGTGTGAAGTCATCTGGCAGGGGAGGGAAAGGTCTTAAGCTATCTTCTAGGTTTCTGGTCACTTAACTGCAGACTGTTTCTCCTCTTACTACTGTGTTAGGGTGGAATTTTTAGTGACTTCCCCTTCAACATTCATGCAACAATTCTTTAATGATGCCGACACTATGCAAGTCACTGCTAGATTCTGGAGTTCAGTGGGGCATGGTCCTTTCCATTACTTCCAGTTTGTTTTTTTGGTCCTTTTTGATCAAGGGTCACCCGTGTCGGTAACTGGATTTCATTAAGAACTCTGGACTCTCCTGGCTATAGGTTCCAGCGCTGGGGCTGGCAGTGGAGAGTTCCACGTGTACAGGCATCTGCGCCGGAGAGAGTACCAGCGACAGGACTACATGGATGCCATGGCTGAGAAGGTCAGTGAGTGACAAGGCTGGCTGAGCCCTTGCGTTTGGGCAATGTACACTTGGGACTTTTAGGAAAAAGCTGCTACTGCTGTTTTTGGCTTTTTTTTTTTTTTTTTTTATTAAGAAGGAGAGAGTCCCAAGCAGGTTCTTGCAACACAGAGCCTGATGTGGGACTCGATCTCAGGAACCATGAGATCGTGACCTAAGCTGAAATTAAGAGTTGGGTGCTTAACAGAGCCACCCAGGCTCCCCAGGAAGAGGCATTTAAAGAAGAGAAGATACACCTGGTGTGAAGGCTGCCTTCTTAAGTCAGCATGGGAAACAGACGTCAAGTAAATCCAGGTTAGTCCAAGGTCAGATTCAGCACATCAAGATGCTCCCACTGGGAGATGTATGAGAGAAGGGAGACTTCCAGTTGGGCAGAAAGGACAGCAGAGGCCTCTCTCCCTTCCAGTCCATTTGCCGTGAAATGGAATAGAAAGCAAGATGTCCCGCATCACTTGAGTTATTATTTCTAATTCTGTTGTTCTCTTTTTGGCTGAATGCCTATTATAATTCCATTCAGCTATGTGTTTAGTGTGGATAGTGTGTATGCGTGTGTCTACTTTGAGTTGTCTAGCGTAGAGACTGGCATTTCTTCATGACAGGTGTCAAATAAGAATTGGGAATGGCTTTAGAAATTGAGGGGCACCTGGGTGGCTCAGGTGGTTAAGGATCTGACTTTGGCTCAGGTCATGATCTCATGGTTCGTGGGTTCCAGCCCCATGTCAGGCTCTGTGCTGACAACTCAGAGCCTGGAGCCTGCTTCAGATTCTGTGTCTCCCTCTTTCTGTGCCCCTCCCCCACTCATGCTTTGTGTCTGTCTCTTTTTCAAAAATAAAATCAGAAATTGTATCATAAGGGATGCCTGGGTGGCCCGGTCCGTTGAGTGTCCAACTTTGGCTCGGGTCATGATCTCACAATTCATGAGTTCGAGCCCCACGTCTGGCTCTGTGCTGACATCTCAGAGCCTGGAGCCTGCTTTGGATTCTGTGTCTCCCTCTCTCTGTCCCTCCCCCACTCATGCTCTGTCTCTGTCTCAAAAGTAAATAAACATTAAAAAAAAATTTTTTAAAGAACTATTAAGGTTTTTGTTACCTGACTGGAAGGGCCAGAAACCTCTTTTTTATTGCTCTTAAAAAATGCTCTTTGGGGGCGCCTGGGTGGCGCAGTCGGTTAAGCGTCCGACTTCAGCCAGGTCATGATCTCGTGGTCCGGGAGTTCGAGCCCCGCGTCGGGCTCTGGGCTGATGGCTCAGAGCCTGGAGCCTGTTTCCGATTCTGTGTCTCCCTCTCTCTCTGCCCCTCCCCCGTTCACGCTCTGTCTCTCTCTGTCGCAAAAATAAAATAAATGTTGAAAAAAAAAAATGCTCTTTGGACATTTCGCTTATTTTATTTATTTTTCAGAGAGAGTTTTGGAGTTGTTTTATCCACACCAAAAATTGTGTTGGATTTTTTTTTTTTTTTACTAGAATTGAGTTGAGTCTGTCACTTAAATTGAATAAGAATGGATGTTATAGTGTTTAGTTATCCCCTCTAGAAACTTTTATCTTTTTTTGTTTAAAAATTTTTGTGTCTCTCAATGATGATTTATGGAGATTTGATACTTATCTCACTATATTTGTTCATAGATTTTAAGTTTTGGCGGGGCTTGTTTTTAAGTAGGCTCCATGCCCAACGTGGGGCTCAAACTCATGACCCTGAGATCAAGAGTTGCGTGCTCTACTGACTGAGCCAGCCAGGTGCCCCAAAGATTTTAAATTGTTTTTTTTTTAAAGTTTGTTTATTTATTTTGAGAGAGAGTGCAAGTTGGGGAGGGACAGAGAGAGAGAATGAATCCCAAGCAGGCTCCACACTGTCAGTTCAGAGCTTAGTGCAGGGCTCAAACCCATGAACTGTGAGGTCATGACCTGAGCTGAAGGCGGACACTTAACCGACTGAGCCACCCAGCCGCCCCAAGATTTTAAGGGATTTTTTTATTGCAGTGGCGCTAGGTGCTCCTTTATGTTTTATTCTTGACTATTAGTAAAAATCAGAAAAAATCCTGATGTTTTAGGGCTCTTCTATTTTCCAACCTGGCAATTAATAAAAACCAAATATTATTTGGCAAATTCTTTGTGATTCCCACATTTGATTTCTCCTTTTTAAATTTTTTAATTTTTTTATTAAAAAAAATTTGTTTTAATGTTTTTATTTATTTTTGAGAGAGAGAGCATGAGTGGGGTAGGGGCAGAGACCCTCCCTCCCTCCCTCCCTCACTCCAAAGCAGGCTGTAGGCTCTGAGCTGTCGGAACAGAGCCCGACACAGGGCTTGAGCTCGTGAACCGCGAGATCATGACCCAAGCCGAAGTCAGACGCCCAACTGACTGAGCCACCCAGGCGCCCCTGATTTCTCCTTTTAACATGTATGAGAGATTACCTCTCATTATTAATCTTACACCATGCAATGTAGGACCTTTTCCTCACTCTGACTATGGTGCCTATTTTTTCATGGAATACGTTTGTGTGTTTTAGAGATTCACATGCTTTAAAATGATATGTATTTGTATTGTGAAGTCACCACCTTGAGATCAAGACCTGAGCTAAGATAGAGTCAGACACTTAACTGACTGAGCCACCCAGGTATCTCTTATTTGCTTTTTATAAAGGAGGAAACCACTTTGGGCAACAGCATGTGGTTTTCCAATGATTCCCTTTAAAAAAAAATTAACTCACTGTAGAACTTTTTCCTATATAAAGGAAATAAAATGCTTTAAAAATTTAAAATAATCATTCACAAGGGGTACCTGGGTGGCTCAGGTGGTTAAGCGTCCAACTTCAATGCAGGTCATGATCTCACAGTTTGTGAGTTCTAGCCCTGCATCGGGCTCTGCGCTGACAGCTCAGAGTCAGGAGCCTGCTTCAGACTCTGTGTCTCCCTCTGTCTCTCCCTGTCCCCAACTCGCGCTGTCTCTCAAAAACAAACATTAAAATAATCATTCACAAAAAATAGAATACTACTTAGCAATAAAAAGGAATAAACTACTGATATATGCAACAGTGTGGATGATTCTTACAACATGCTGAGTGAAAGAAGCCTTGCATAAAAGAGACCACACTGTAAAATTCCATTTATATGAAGTTCTACAAGAGGGAAAACTAATGTATGTAAAGAAAAAAAAAAAAAAATCAGGGGCTCCTGGGTGACTTAGTTGGTTAAGCGTCCAACTCTTGATTTCCACTCAGGTCGTGGTCTCAATGGTTTATGGGTTCAAGCCCCGCACCTGACTCTATGCTAACAGCAGAGGCTGCTTGGGATTCTCTCGAGCTCTCTCTTGAGCTCTCTCACTCTGTCAAAATAAACATTTTTTAAAAATCAGAATAGTTGTTTCTGAGTTGGATAAGAAAAGGTACGAGGGAACTTTCTGGTGTGATTACATTGTACACTCTAGATTTGATCATTTTGTTGTATGTATTACCTTAAGTGGAAAAAAACAGAAAAACCGTTAACAAATATTAAACTCTAGTTGATGATATGCATGCTTAAATCTTTAGAGGTGAAATGTCCTGGTGTCTGCAACTTACTTTGAAATGTGTTAAAAAGAAATAAGATGGATTGACGGAAGGATAGAGGGATAGATAGGTGGACAGGCATGTGCTAAAGCAAGTAGCAAAATGTCTGTAGGATTTAGTGGTGGGTATACAGACTGTATGATTCCCTCAACTTTTCTATGTTGGAAATTTTCCAACGTAAAATGCCAGGGAAATTATTAAAGGGATAGATATGATACAGAAGAAAATATGTAAAAATTTACTGGAATGGCCAAAAATTGAGTTTGAAAAATACCTTTATGATTTTGGAACAGAAGGGAATCATTGCCGTGGTGGTTTTCACCTGCTGTTTGCTTGTCCTCCGTCTCTCTTGGCCCCCAGCTGTTGGTGGTTCTTCTCCAGCTACTGCCGTCCTCTGGATGTGGCATTCTCAATTCTAGTGGGGAGTTTCTGGTGGCTGGTCACACCTCTACCTAGTCACTGTAGTGGGTTTTCCACTACCAAGAATAAATAAAACTCTATGTAGAAACTATCTGAAGCTACTTTAGCTTCATATTGAAACTACTTTAGAGGGAAGGAAACAGAGCAGGCTGTTGGCTCAACTACCATCAGCTAGTCTGGTTTTTATACATTGATCAAAGACCCAGGGAAAATACAGAAAAATGTTTCACAGACCTTGAATCCACACAGACACGCAGGTTCTTATTTCACACGGCGAAAGACAGGCTCTGAGGTTAGAAGAAACAAAGAGGCAAGGGTGTCCTCACCTTTCACGGTGACTAACGGCGTCGCCACTGGAAGAGCTCGTGGTGAGCTCAAGTCCTGCCAAGCCTGACGGGGCTCCGGTGGGTCACTTGTTGGCTGCAGCTGCTCCGGCAGCAGAGTGCGTTTACGGTCCAGCTGTGAACAGACCACATGCTTTTCCTTTTAAGTCGTTTGCTTTCTGGTGCTCTAATCGGAACTGAGTTCCTTGAAAGGAGACCCTTCTCTCTTTTTTTTCTTATTTACTTATTATTTTTTACTTTCTATTTTAGAGTGTGAGTGGGGGAGAGGGCCCAGTGGGGGGAGAGGGAGAGAATCTTAAGCAGGCTTCGTGCTCAGCGCGGAGCCCAACTCGGGGCTCCATCCCACAACCCTGGGCCGAAATCAAGAGTCAGACGCTCGACTGACTAAGCCACCCAGGTACCCTGTTTTACTTATTTTATTTTTTTTTAGTGATCTCTGTACCCAGCGGGGGGCTGGAACTCGCCACCCCGAGATCAAGAGTTGCACGTTCTTCGGACTGAGCCAGCCAGGCGTCCTGACTCCTCTTATTTCATGATCTCTGCTCTCAGAGAGTTTCTGCGTCACTCTAAGCAGAGCCACACAGCCCTGGCAGTGCAGGCCAGCAGAGGGGTTGAAGCCACCTTGTCCTCTGCTGGCCCCTTATTTACTCTGTTGACCTTTAAGGCTTTGACTAGAAGAAAGAGATGGCATTTTATTATTTTTTTTTATTTAATTTTATTGTTTGAGAGGGAGAGAGACAGCGCAAGTGGGGGAGGGGCAGAGAGAGCGAGACAGAGACTCCGAAGCAGGCCTCCAGGCTCCGAGCGGTCAGCACAGAACCCGATGCGGGGCTCGAACTCACGAACTGTGAGATCATGACCTGCACCGAAGTTGGACGCTTAACTGACTGAGCCACCTACGCGCCTCAGAGACGGCATTTTAGATCATTGTATCTTTGTGGTTTACAAGTGCTTTCTAGTAGGTTATCATGTGTTATCCTTTCTAAAGGCTCTGGGAGAGAGGAATTGGTCTTTTCCCCATTTTATAGGTGAGAAAACGAAGGCTCAGAGACAGGGAGCTGCTAGGAAGGGATAATACAAGGGTTGGCTTTGTATGGACGTGTGTACACTCACGTATTCCTGTGTGACACATGTATGTGCTTAGTAGCAGTGATGGCACTGGGTGTTGTCTTGCTGTGGAATCAGTCACCTGATGACTGTCATCATTAGGACTTGAAAATCCCATGGTTCCACCTCTCTGGCTGTTCCATCTGATGAGCCCAGGTCACCGTAAGGAAAAAACGTGCTCCTGTGTGTCTCCTCTACTCTCAGTTCTCTGCTTCTCTTCTGACACTTCTGGTCACCAAGTATGTGGGGATTTCTCTCACACCAAGCAATTCTGTGACGCTAGCTGAGCATCCTACAGTTTAACTCAATCCTGATGCCATCCACCAGGCAAGAATGTCCAATGCCACGTGTTCAACGGGCTCAGTCCCATGAGACTGCCTCCCCGCCCCCAACCACCTCAAAGGCCAGTCCCAGGCCCAGGTGTTGTCCCCTGTCCTTCTGACCGACTGGCTGTGGATTAGAGGTCCCCCACCACTCCCTCCTCAGGTTCAATTAAGTTGCTCAGAGGGACTCACAGAACTCAGGAGAAGCCAGGTGGAAGAAGGGGGCACAGAGCTTCTGTCCCCTCCCAGCCCCTCCACATGTTCACCAACTCGGAAACCATCCGAACCCCATCTTTTTGGGGTTTTGGCGGCATTACTACTAAGGCACAATTGATCAACTCATTGGCATTTGGCAGTTAGTTCAGCCTGCAGCTCCTCTCCCTCCCTGGAGCACAGGAGGTGGGGCTGAAAGTTACCCCGGTGACCAGCCCTGCTCCTTAAGGGCTTTCCAGAACTCACTCGTTAACTTAAACTCCTGTGGTTGAAAAGGGGCTTGTTATAAAAAAAAGACACCATTTCACCTTTCTCTTGGGAGCTGTTTCAGAAACTGGGAACATAATTAAGTATTATAATAAAAGGTGCCCCTGTGGCTCTTGAATAGGAAATTTATAGGAGCTTTTGGAACCACGTTCCAGAAGTAATGGATGAAGACCAAATACAGTTGACTATTAGCAGGTGCTTAGGGGCACCAACCCCTCCACTATGCAGTAAAATCTGTATATAACTTTTGACTTTCCTAAAACTCTATTAGCCTTAACTATTGACCCAAAGCCTGATAATGTAGTCAGTTAACATATATTTGGTTACGTGTATTATATACTGTATTCTTATAATAAAGTAAGCTAGAGAAAAGAATGTTAAATAATAAAGTAAGCTAGAGAAAAGAATGTTTCTCTTCCCAAGGAAGAGAAAATACAGTACTGGACTGTATTTATCGAAAAAATCCGCATGTAGGTGGACCCGCACAGTTCAAACCTGTGTTGTTCAAAGGTCAGCTGTATACGTTTCTTACTGTAAATCACAATGTCACACTAGCCAAGGCCCTGGCTACGTAGCCGGTAATTCTTCCTCTGCCTTCAGGGAATACACAGTGTGCACCTTCTCATGCTCTCGTATTTTGTGTATGACTGCCACCCTACGGAATGAAGTAACTTTCGCCATCGGAGAACTAGATACTGGGGGCATCCTCTTAATGGTTACGGTGGCCCCAGAGACCCGGATGTGCCTATGGCACCCCCAGTGGTGTGACTTCCAGAGCTCCCATACCCAGCCCAGAGTGTGTCTAAATGATGTGTTTTTTCACAGCAAAAATTGGACGCAGAGTTTCAGAAGAGACTGGAGAGAAATAAAATTGCTGCAGAAGAGCAGACAGCAAAGCGCCGAAAAAAGCGGTAAGGGCTTTGTGGCTTCTCATAACCGATGAAACTTAAAGGCAGAAATGTGAAAGCTGGGGAATGAGTCGTCCTTGCGGTCAGAAGTTCACCTTATGACCTGTCAAGGTCTTAGGTGTTACCCAGTAGAGGAATGGCCTTTCTTCCAATAACCGAGAAGAGATTAAGTCACTTACTACCACTACATCCCCCTTCCCCCGTACAGATTCTCCATAGCTCAGGTCAGCACTTTGGTGCTCACATGGATTTCTGGGTCTCCTTCCCTTCTGTATTTTAACACCAAGTTTAACAATATGCTGTGAGTAAGGTTCCCTTAGCTTGTTCCTTAAATTAGGGTGTGTGACCTCCCTCAGTGACATCATGTGAGCATGTAGGCTGCATGTGTGTGTGTGTGTTTTAATAAATACTCCCTCGACTTTTAAAGAGCTGAGCAGGATTCTGAAAACAGTCCTTAATTCTTATTTATTCATTTACTTATTTAAGTTTATTTATTTATTTTGAGAGAGAGAGCACGAGCAGGGTAGGGGCAGAAAGAGAAGGGGTGAGAGAATCCCAAGCAGGCTCCACACTGTCAGTACAGAGCCCAACGTGGGGCTCGAACTTACTAACCATGAGATCATGACCTGCGCCAAAATCAAGAGTCAGACGCTTGACCAACTGAGCCACGCAGGCGCTCCTGAACGGTCCTTCATTCTTAGTCTGTTTCTGGCAATCTGTTCGTGTAGTGGGATAGTTCTTTTTCTTTTGCTTTCCAATAGGCATAGTAAAGGTAGTTAAAGAGCACATCTGTATGCTGCAACTTGATTACATCTTTTTTTTCTGTTTTGTATTTTTTCTTTTATCATGTTCCAGTTTCTGCATGTAGAATTAAATAAGAAACAAAACCTATAAAGCTGTAACATTTCACATGGAAATGCTGCCCAGCCTTCACCAGCTTCGGAAATCTGACCTTTGCTGATGGCTGCAATGAAGTGCCACCTAAAAAAATAAATAAAAATAAATAAATAAAAACAGTCCCTAAACATCTTGGAATGAAAAATCTCTCCCAATATTTCTGAGATTGTTTTAATCACCTCAAGACTCTGAAAGGTTGTTTCATTTTGATTCAAGAAGAAAACAGCTTGATAATGTTGATGGTGTTGGAGTAGCAGAATCATGAGAAAGTATTTCTTCCGTTTCATTATTGTAGTGTTTGTGTAATTGTAAGGTCTTTAAACATTCCATAAGTAGTTATTTGTTTTCTAAAATATATAGTAAGGTAGTGGGGGAATTAATAGATTTATTTTATATTTGTAGCCAGAAGTTAAAAGAGAAGAAATTATTGGCAAAGAAGATGAAACTTGAACAGAAGAAACAAAAAGAAGGTGAGTGGTACCTGCTTTTCTTGGTTGGGATCTTTCTCACCTATCAGGAGTGAGATTTAGAATTTGGAGCTGGTTGGCTGGCCACTGAAGACACGAGGACTTATTTCCATTAGTTAGGACTCATTTAATTGCAAGTGTCAGAATGTTAAACTGGTGTAAGCAAAAAGAAAGATGCTGACTGGCATTAAGTCAGGACAGACCTCCCTTCAGGGATGGCTAGTAAATGAGCTCAGTGATGTTACTGGCCTTCTTTGTCTCCCTCTGTCCCCTGGCTCCTTGTCCTCAGGCAGGTGCATGTCCTCCCTGTGGTTGTGGGGTACCCGGGGCTGCACCGTGCCTCATTCTTGTCCAGTAGGAAAGACTGAGGGGATGTCCCTCGCAAAAGTGCTTTTGTGTTTTTTTGGCCCTGATGGAGTCACTTGGCAAGTCAGTTAAGAATGCTTTGGGTTATAAAAAAAAAAACAACAAACCAGAAAACTAGCAGTAGTTAAACAAAGAAGAGTTCATTTCTCTCACTTAATAAGAAATCTGGTGGGGCGCCTGGGTGGCGCAGTCGGTTAAGCGTCCGACTTCAGCCAGGTCACGATCTCGCGGTCCGTGAGTTCGAGCCCCGCGTCGGGCTCTGGGCTGATGGCTCGGAGCCTGGAGCCTGTTTCCGATTCTGTGTCTCCCTCTCTCTCTCTGCCCCTACCCCGTTCATGCTCTGTCTCTCTCTGTCCCAAAAATAAATAAAAAAAACGTTGAAAAAAAAATTTAAAAAAAAAAAAAAAATAAGAAATCTGGTGGTAGGTGGCAGTCTCTTGTGGTTCAGCAGCTCAGGAGTGGCAGGCCCAGTATCCCCTGTACTTCTCTTGGCCTTTACTTTGTGGGTGTGAGATGGCTCCTGTGGCTCCTGGCATCATACCTGTGTCCAAAGGGGAGAGAAGTGCAGGGGATGCTGGTATTTTAACAGAAGAGCAGAAGATCCCCCAGAAGTGCCCAACAGATGGCATTTTATATTTCACTGGTCACTTTGCCATCCCTTGCTGCTATTAGGCTAGACGAATAGAAAACCGAACTGTTGTGACCGTGTTTAACCTGTCATGATTTATCCCTGGGAGCCGGGTACATTGCCACCCTGGACTGGGATGAGATTTTGTTAACGAGGAGGAATAGGGGTGAGTCACGTGTCAGTGTCCCACAGTGCTACCAGTCCTGTCCACCTCTGAGCACTCCACATGGCCAGAGGTGCCAGCCGCTCCCCTGAGAGCCCCTGAGCTGAGAACCCGGGAAAGAGGGGCATCAGATGGAAAGGACCAAAGATGCTAAGAGACCAAAAAACGACAAGTGCATACACATTACTGAATTGGTGGTTGTTCCCTGATTGACTAGGCATGGTTCCTGGTTAGACGGTTGTGAGTTTTGGTCTTAAGATAAAGTCAGACTTTCACTGACACACTAAATATGATTGGTCCCTTCCAGGATCAGTTTCCTTATGGTTTGTAAATATACTGCGTGACACCCTCTGTATGGTATAGTCTTAGACTCTTCCTTCCCATTTCTTAGAATCATTTCTTTTATAACACTGAAATGTGATTGCTAGGACCTCATCCCTGAAAGAAACCACCTCATTACTTTCCCAGCCCTCTTCCTCCCCACACACACAGGAACATCCAGTACTGATCCAAGGGCTGGAGGATTGGGCACAGGAGCCAATCTCACAGTTTTTGGTTTTTTGTTTTATTTATTTTAGACGGAGCGAGCGCATGTGTGAGTAGGGGAGAGAAAGAAGGAGAGAGAATCCCAAACAGGCGTCACACACAGTGCAAAGCCTGATGCAGGGCTCAATCCCATGACCCTGGGATCATGACCTGAGCCAAAATCAAGAGTCGGATACTGAACCGACTGAGCCACCCAGGCGCCCCGAGCCAGTCTCGTGTTATATTGAAGGAGGTATTGTAACTTGGACCCATGACATCAGGATATAGAAAGGTCCTTGTCTCTAGGTGATTTATTTTTTCTTTGTGTTGTCATTGCTGTTATTTAGTGTTTAGTGAATTTCCTGAGCTAATTTTGTAAAGCCTGCATTCTTTATTGAGTCTGCTTTGTTAGCTTAGTGGTCAGCTGAAGAGTAGAGATTTCTTTGAACTTCCAAGTCTCACAGCCTTTGCCGAGGGGCTCTACGTATCTGTAGGAACATGCCTTCAACGTTTTGGCAGGCGGTTCACAATTTGCTTTGGCCTTCATGCCCTCCTTGCACAGAGCTTCAAGGTCAGCCAGAGGTGAGATTAGGACCATCACTTGTCTTTCTTAGACATGTACACAGCTCTGCATGTGACTGTCTAAATTCCCAGCTTTTCCTCAGGTTTTGATGGATTTCTTGATTGCTCCAACTGTTAATACCTTAGGCAGCTGCAATGTTAAACAGTTGCCACTGGTTGTTTTTGACGACCACCCTTGAGAAAGGGCTGTTTGCACTAAGGTTGAATGAAGATAAGCCTTGGGAGTGGAAGTTTCTGGGGAGCAGCTAGACAGCTCACGTAGGGACAGTGCTCTGAGTATGGAACCTCTGAGGACCTTCCAACAGTTTTCTTCCTCCAGTGGCTGCCAGGCGGTTGGCTTCCACAACTGCTGTGGTGATGAGGGCTACCTTGGATATGGTGAGAGAGAGACATTAGAATCACAGAACTTGCTGTACTTACCAAGGTTCAGCCATTTTTCTTGAACAATCCAAGGAGCGTTTCCAGAGTTCTGAAAAAGTTGGTTTTGACAATTGTTGATGTTCTTAATTATTTTTATGGAGGAGCAGATTTTTAGAGATCCTTACTCTGCCATTCTGAAAGTGCTTCCATCCCTTTAGACTTTACCCTGCCTATATTGGAAATGTTTCTTGGGGCACCTGGGTGGCTCGGTCATTTGGGTGTCTGACTTCAGCTCAGGTCGTGATCTCACAGTTTGTGGGTTCGTGCCCTGTGTCAGGCTCTGCGCTGGCAGCTCAGAGCCTGGAGACTGCTTCAGATTCTATGTCTCCCTTTCTCTCTCCGCCCGTCCCGTTTATGCGCGTGCCTCTGTCTCTCTCAAAAATAAACATTTAGGGGCGCCTGGGTGGCGCAGTCGGTTAAGCGTCCGACTTCAGCCAGGTCACGATCTCGCGGTCCGTGAGTTCGAGCCCCGCGTCAGGCTCTGGGCTGATGGCTCAGAGCCTGGAGCCTGTTTCCGATTCTGTGTCTCCCTCTCTCTCTGCCCCTCCCCCGTTCATGCTCTGTCTCTCTCTGTCCCAAAAATAAATAAACGTTGAAAAAAAAAATTAAAAAAAAAAAATAAATAAACATTTAAAAATAAAATGCACTAATAAACTTAAAAATTTTTTTCTTCTGAATAAATATGTTTCATGTAGATATCAGATGTTTGAGTCATGGGTTTCCCCCTCCCCATTCTTAGAGTCTCTACCTTGTTATGTTGATATGTTTGGATTTTAGGGCTACCATTTTATTTGGGGGTTTTTCTGTTGTTCCTTCTGTATTTCTCTGTTTCTTTTTCTCTGTCTTTTGTATTATTTGAACATTTTTTATCTCACTGTAATGTATTGTGTTTTTAACTATATCCCTCTTTCTAGCTTTTTAGTTGTTCCTCTGCAGCTTGCTATATATGTACTCCTTTCACAGTCTACTTAGAATCGGTATTTAAGTGGAATGTAGAAACTTGTCACCATATAGGTCTCTTGCCCTTTTATGTTGTGGTTGTCTTATGTATTACATCTACATACATTGAAAACCCTAGTGGATAATGTTATTTTTGTTTTCAATCATCCAGTACATTTTCAAGATCAGGAGGAGAATTGTCTAGAATAATAATAGTAACCAGATAGTTACATTTCTGTTGTTCCTCCTTTGTCCCTGATGTTCCAAGCTTACCTCTGGCATCATTTCCTTTCTGTCTGAAGAACTTCCTTCAGTCATTTGGTTAGAAGAGGTCTGCTGGCTATGAATTTTCTTTGCTTTTCTTCATATGAGGCTGTCTTTATATCACCTTTGTTCCTGAAGGACATTCTCACTAGATCTAAAATTTAGGGAGCACCTTGGTGGCTCAGTCGGTTAAGTGTCTGACTCTTGATTTTGGCTTAGGTCATGATCTCACTGTTTGTGAGTCCGAGCCCCACATTGGGTCATGATCTCACTGTTTGAGCTCCACACTGTCATTGTGGAGCCTGCTCTCTCTCTCTCTGCCCCTCCCCTGCCTGCACTCGCTTACTCACTCTCAATCTCTCCCCCTACCCCTCTTTCAAATAGATGAACTTAAAAAAAAATTTTGGGTTGGCAGTTTTTTCTTCCAGCACTTTAGAAATACCATGCCACTTTCTGTGGCCTGCATGGTTTCTGATGAAAATTTTATAACTATTGAGATTGTTCTATCATTATTTTTATCTGGCTGCTTTTAATATTTCTGTCTTTAAATTTTTTTTTTTCAACGTTTATTTATTTTGGGGACAGAGAGAGACAGAGCATGAACGGGGGAGGGGCAGAGAGAGAGGGAGACACAGAATCGGAAACAGGCTCCAGGCTCTGAGCCATCAGCCCAGAGCCCGACGCGGGGCTCGAACTCACAGAGCGCGAGATCGTGACCTGGCTGAAGTCGGACGCTTAACCGACTGCGCCACCCAGGCGCCCCAATATTTCTGTCTTTAGATGTCAACAGTTTGATTATGATGGGTCTGCACATGGATTTCTTTGGTTTAATCCTGTTTGGATTTCATTGAGCTACTCCAATCTGTAGGCCTGTTTGTCTTTTGTCAAATTTGGAAAAATTTTGGAAGCAAAAAGAATATAAAAACAGGGAGGGGGACAAAACATGAGAGTCTCTTGAATATGGAGAACAAACAGAGGGTTACTGGAAGGGTTGTGGGAGGGGGGATGGACTAAATGGGTAAGGGGCATTAAGGAATCTACCCCTGAAATCATTGTTGCACCATATGCTGCAAACTTGGATGTAAATTAAATTAAAAACAAAATTTTTTTGGAAAA